GTGTGCATAAAAACAGCATTTATTTACCTATTGTTATGCTATTCATGTTTCCTTTTCTCCGGTAAAATATGTATCGTTGAGAAATCTCAAAATTGTTTCAAAATCGAACTTGATTGGATAATTGATCCTGTACGAATGTGTATAACCTTTCATGAAAATCAAAGCATTTCTTCCGAAATTATCGCACGGACTCAAGATCCCTTTTGCATCTCAGAAACGTAAGATATCACGAACTTTCCGAGTCTACCTTAAGCTGAGTCTTAGCTTGAGTTCAGCTTTTACATTATTTACAATGTTAATATCTCCAAACATTTTATTGTAAATCTGAAATTTTCACGCTCAAAGTTTCAGTAGTAGATGTCATACTCCGATAAAATAATACTATTTCAAGATCAAATAAGATATATTAAATATGTTATCAGAATGCACGCGCATTTATATAGTGATATGGTGGTAAGCATACAATCTTTATAATGCTTACAGTTGACATATAAACAATAGCTATTTCATTATGAATGTACATATATTTTTTTAAATCAACATATTCAAAACTGGATTAGCGTTGCTGACATTTCTTCGAACACGAAAACGAAAGCCACACAAATATTTCGCTCTATAGCGTATAAAAAATTGTATGCTTTTCGACAATTACCGATATTTTTATCCCTACTTCTCATATAACATATAAAAAAAATATGTCCAGATATCAGAAATCATAACATTTTTGGATGAACATGTTTAAGTCGGCCGTTTTCCGAAAACATAAGAATGATTCTTCGAAACAGGTCGAAAACGAAAGTCGGACGTAACACAATACACACCAGTATACGTTGATCTGTTTAATCCAGTTCGTTTACAGAAAATATCCTAATCTGAATTCGTGCAAAATGGCAAAATTGAAAGCAAAACTAGTTTCAAACTACATAAAAAATACTATTTACACGTGTTTAAACGCATAGTCAGGAATATCAACAAAAATCACTTTATTATTTAGTTAAATTTATCATTAATTGGTTATATGCAATACTGCAATGTCCTACACAACAAGTAATCTCCAAACTGGCATGTCCTTGTATTCCATATACAGATGTACCCAATCAGGGTTGTTGTTTTTATTTCTATTTTTATTTTTTATTATTTTTTGAAACACAAGCAAACACTAAAACTTTGCATGGTAAGTACAATGTATGTCAAGTATGTGTCGACAGACAACTTATCTAAACCTTAATTCTTATCTGCAAACACTTTTTCATTTCTGCATTTGAAGAAACTAGAAACACTGCTTGTCCTTTAACCGAAACTTTCAAAGGACAAAATCCTAGCTATGAGCTTCTCTATAAAAATATGTTTCTATACCGGTTACTGGTAAGGTAACTCGCTAGGCTCGTAATTAATCCATTAACTTCAAACAATCTTTATTAAAAGCGTTTTATCAATTAATCTTCATGTTGCTCAAACATAGCCGTTAGTCCAACTTTTATCCGCCATTCTTAGAATCTACACTTAAAGGTGAAACTAGTGGAAGATCAAAGCTGAAGAACTTAAAAAATCTTCCGGTCATTGCTGAACACCCTTTCCTCAAAATTGTTTCTTCTATCAGAAGAATCGACGTTAAAACACCTTCGTTCTCTTTATTAGAAAGATTCGCTTACTCGAAAGACGAATCGCTGCAGATGTATGGATGTGAACCGTTCACGGGCATATTTTACAAGAAACAAGACAAATCAAAGATGAGAGATATTATACTCCTGGCAGATAACACATTTGCTGAGTTTGGTGACAAGAATTACAACAGACTATGGGCATACCTACAGAAACTAACAATCCCCTCGCATGGTCAAATTGATTAAGTTTGCAAATGAACGTGAATTTCCCGAGAAGAATGTCAGCTCCGGTAACAAAAGCCTTGTCAAATCCTAAATTGTTACTTTCTGCCACCACAAGTTTTGAGATATGCAGATTGATGAAAACTACATCATGATGTTATAAGGAACTGTTTTATTTCCTTAAGCGATATGAGGGTCGATGCTTTGGAGTATGATTTCAGTGCGTCTTGTAGTTTTGTAGTCCCTACTCTGGTTTGCTCTTTGGGGATGCTGCTTTACTTGAATTTGGTCAGATTACGCATGGCGGTTATCGGCGACAAAGAAAATAACCTACCCTTCAATTTATCTTATGTTCCATGTAGTTTTAGAGGATATTTCTGTGAATCTTCGAAGTTTGCCATAGTTTCGTCGATTTTGAATTATGGTTTCTGTTTGCACCAAGTAACTGTATGAAGTAAAAAATAGGGAGGTGGCCTTATACTGGAAACATTATTTCTGATTAACAGAGCTTTTAGGAACACAATAAATGACTTTCAGTAATGCGCTTAACTAATTAGCAAGTCTGTTCGACCTAAGCGATGTACCATGACTTATCGATGTACGTCGTCTGATTTTCTCTGTACTATATATAAGAACTTTTAAATACCAGAGAACGTCCCTCATTGTGACCGACTAAAATTGGATATTTTCCAAGTTTCCATATTTGTTTAAACTAAATAAAATAAAATAAAACACTTAAGCTTGGTATCGTTTTAAAGAGAAAGTTATTGTCTCCATGATTGGCTGTATGGTACCGGGAAAGGGTCATTAAGGCACATTTAGACATTTGGGACATTCACGGGGTGTAATTTCGCTTCTGACGAGCCAATCAAAAGCCTTGATATTAAGGGAAGCGAGTTACATCATTCCGAAGGCTGAATAACGACATATGCAACAGCAACAAACAGATGTAGAATATGAATGACGATTTGTTTTTAATACTTATGATGAACCTTGAACAAAAATATTAAATAAAACGCATAATATCAATGGTAATTATTACCAGAATCAATCACTTAAACATTATATATAAATAACCTACGTGTAATACTTATAACATGGATTTATAGACTAATTTAGTAGTTTAACATAAGATCATCATCATCTATTGTTTGCTTTACCAAATATGATCAAGCACATGTATATTTCCAACAATATGTTTAGATCTGTACATCAAAGCGTTTGACATATTTATTCCAGTTAAATAATATATGCATTTTGAATTTCGAATGCTCCAATTTTTAAACAGTGCATATATATTCAAAACTTTTCTATACTAGATACAAATACTTTAACACATATTTTATCTTCTGACAATATGCAACTTATCCTTGACTGGTGCTTATATATAAACCAGTCATTTGAACTAAGGAGTGTGGGCCTGGCTTCTGTATAGTTTATATATTGTTGACTATTGCAGTTTCTTTGTAAATTTGTTGTTTTATTATTTGCCTTCAAGTTACTAAGTAACTATAAATGAGCAACACAATTATTGAATTGATATATACATATTCATGTTAAGTTCATGTTTCCGTACAGCGCATGTACTTGTATGATGTAAGACCTACTTTATTGTAAATGCTTGCAAAAGATATATAAACAATGGCTGATTCATTGTGAATGACTAAATGTCAAACATAGAAAAAATATAGAACTTAAATAGACCAACTAGTCTAGTCTAAATTGTGTTTTCAAAAACTGGTCAGTGTTGCCGATATTTCTTCGAAAACGAAAGTAAAAATAACACGTGTGTTTCTGTGTTTAACAGATGCAAATGGTTTACTTTTCGTCAAATATCGGTTATTTATTTGTTGCTGTCTCGAATTCTTGAATTACAGCAAATATGTGTATAATCCTTACATGTATATCATTAATCGATAACATAATTCGGACGTGCGCCAAACACGGCCGTTTTCAGAAAACAAAACGAAATATTCTGCGAAATGTCGAAAGTGAAAGTAGAATAAGCGCATATGCATGTAGTTAGCGTTTCTGTCCAGCACAATCCAGTCAGCTGACCCCTTATCAGGTACTGTATAGCTACACTCAGGTAAAATGCTTTACTTAATCTTTAAATTAATGTATTGAAATCAAAAATTCAAAATGCAAACAAAAAAATGTATATATCACATGATTTCCTCTGCAAAACTGTTAGGTTTTTTATTTGTAATATTACATTTATGACCTTTTGCGTAGGCTATGGATGGTTATTCACTGATAATTATTTGAATTTATAATTTATTTGGTGTGAAATAATATCTTTCAAAATGAGCTTCAAAGCTTCATTTATACTATATGATTAACCTGTTACATTTTGTCATAAATTTTATTTCGTTTAGTTATTTTCAATTTATGGGTTTTGTTTGGTTCTTGTTTAGTTTGTTTAACGTCTAATATATTTTGGGGGTATATTGGTTTCGTTTGGTTTTCTTTTGTTGTTTAACATTTTATTAACAGCTGGGGGAGGGGGGGGGGGGGCAGGGAGTCAAAGACATACCTTTACGGAACTCTCTCGGTGACGTAGTTTATTCGGTACAAAAAATAAAATCATTGAATACTCAATCATGTAATGTTTGAAATATATCTACTCCATTCACACATTGTCTGAAGTAAATCGACCGGAAGCTTGTTGTCAGTATTACTGTATTGACATACGTATAAACAACTTCATTCCCTTCACGCTTTTTTTCAAATAGAAAGGAAAACTGCACAGATCTCAAGTCGGGCACGTGTTTGCAGGGAAGATAGTAAGGTTTTGTTACTCAGTGTACACATAGAAATTCATACTAAATATACAGACATAGGGGTTGATATAAACAGATAACAATAAATTAACGAACATTGAAAAAGTGAAAATTTGAAAATTTACACCGTGATACACTAAATGATACTGACAATGTTTATACCAAATGTTACCTGGTGTTATCCCATGAAATAATCATTTGTCGAGCCGGATACTGTATCTGTTACTAGATGAAGGTCATCGGGAAAAACCTTATGCCAAAAATAGAACAATGGTGGTGACATCATTCTCATTGGCTAGACACTCGCTGTTCGGTATTCCCAATCTCTATTCCTTTTCAATCACACACAAAGGGAGTGCAAGGACCGTAACTCTGCGTAGAGATTGGGTATTTCCCTACATTGAAAGTCTAGTTCCGGGTCGTTAATTAAGTGAATATAACCGGGGTAGTTTGTACACGTATTACAATGTGTATGAAGACTTTGGGGTATACGTACAGGTGAGTGTATGCTTATCTATCATACAGACTGTAAATACTACTTATAACTCCATAATAAAATATCTGACATTAATGTCATTAATATATAAATCTAGTTTAATTCATGCATCAATGAAAGTAAACAATTATTGAAAATGAGGAATTATCTTTAACTTTTACATCTTCATACTAAACAACACTGTTTTGTTAGAAACCCAATCGAACAAACAATTCGGTAAACATATGGATAAGTACACCTCGTAAGTTGGTTACAGATGCTAAAATAGTGATCGTTATGTCTAGTTATTGGTTAAATAATACACTTGTACGAGTAAATATTTCGTCTGTGTTAACGTTGTAACATTCTGTCAGATTAATTAGTTGGTAACTGTATCTATTAAATGGTTAGCACTTTTACTCATTAATTGGTTGACACGTGTTTTTTTTATTACTACATTAAAAAGCCAAGCATGTTTTAATTGATAGGACTACTGAGTGTGAAAAATACAAAAGAAATAACGAATTTAGGGAAATATATAAAATTTGCAAATTCGAGAAGAACCCTATTATTATAAATAGCTTAGTTGCACTCTCCAAAATTATGATACTGTTTCTATTTGTAATTGTTTTGTGAGTGTGTAATGTCGTGTAATGGTGTTCTTTTGTTACTTGTAACTGAGGAGACGAAAGACTCAAAATGAAATTGAACTTGAACTCATTAATTGGTTGGCACGAGTACCCATTAATTGGTTGGTACGAGTACCCATTAATTGGTTGGTACGAGTACCATTAATTGGTTGGTACGAGTACCCATTAATTGGTTGGTACGAGTACCCATTAATTGGTTGGCACGAGTACCTAGTTGCAATTACAGATAAAACAAAGACACTCACAAGGACACACTCACACTAACTCGCACACATCATCATCATCACAGCAGCAGCAGCAGCAATCATTCGTCATTCATCATGCTCACATTAATACACACGCCAGAACCTTGTTCACCCTCATTCACCCAGACAAGACTTATAATGGTATATTACATAATTTGTATTCAATATACTGATATACATCATGTATCTTAACATGACCTTTTCTAGTGATGACCTCTTAATAAATCTGCTCTACGTTTAAACGCTAGTGATAAATACTTTCCTAAATTATTAAGTTCTTTTGTGTTTTCTATTTTGAGAAATTGAACAAATTTATACATACTAGGCCTCGTGAAATAATATTGCTTTATTATTTAGAGCGGAGGTCTGAATAGCGATTACATTTGATTATAAAATGGTAAACCTGTAGATCGTGTTAATTACTATTCACATGCTGCTCCTTTCCTGGTATATTGTTAGATTGATTTAATACTTTAACTACTGTAAGGAACTATGGTATTCCTTTTTAGTGTACATTGTTTAGGTTACTTCCTGAATAGTGTATGCATTTTCTTTTGAGTCATAATGTATATTTGTATAGGACATGACGTCAAGGTACTTGTCGATTCTTTTAAATCATGACCTACTTCCATGTTGTTCCTCGTCTGTTTTCATTGGATAAGACACTCGGCAATATTCCATGTTTGTGATTTTCATAACATAACTCTGTGTACTGTTTCTTTTATTTTCATTCCAAAAATATACTTTTGCTTGTAAATAGTAATGGCTTTATGGTTCAAGCAAATCTTATGTGTACATTGTGTGATATTTTTGAATTTTTATTTATAAATTGATATTTGAAAATTTCCAGTTTTCCTTCCACAGCTGTCAGTCTGTGTTGGACAAAGATCGATACATTCGCTGTACCAACATGCCACGTATGATCTGTTATCAAATACTCCGTTGCCTAGAGATGGCAGTTAAATAATTAAATTCATCACTTTTCCCAAGCACACATGCATGACAAGACCGACTTTTCTCACGGAAAAAAAATTAAGAAAATACCTCACTCATAGTAAAACCTATGTGAACTAAAACGGATCAAAATCTTGAACGGAAAAAGTGTACGAGTTAAAACAAGTTTATCGTTGAATTGGTAAAAATCTGTGAAACCAGAGATCTATCAGATCAATTTTTGTCTAATCGAAACAAAGTGAGTGGTTCATTACAGTAACAAACCTGTAATTCAGACGAAGGGACGCTCATTACTGACTGACACGTGAACTGATTTAAATATCGATCAGGGACAACTGACACGCTCATTACGTCCACGCTAAAAACTATTCCTGGTCATATATATACATGTAAGTAGAGAGTAAATCTCATAAAAAAAAACCAGTTGTCTTACAGTTGTACGCTCACAGACTGCACACAGGTATTTGAAAGCAGAATGAACACTTTTAAATTCAAAGGAATGATGTGGTCAAAATAACCATTTTTTAACCGATACTACCTTGTTATTTGTCGACCATATATCGGGTCTGTATCTAAAGTTTTCAGTATTATTGTTTTCAGTATCTTTATCGTTCATTTTCATCTTCTTTCTAATCAAATCTCTTTTCTTAGTACCTTCTTTCTGTTAAATATTTAATCACTTAATTATTAAGTTATAACGTCTTAAATTATTAAACCTGGTTTGTTTTTGAACAGCTCTACATAAGGAAAGATGTCTACCAATCCGTCTTACTCTCACTACGACATCCCATGTGATATGTCGAACCCTAAATACCAGAACAGTGAGAGGTCTGCGAGTATCTCCACGACCGGATCGTGTAGCAGCATCATCCCCGGGACTTCTGGGAGTGACTTTCGGCCCCTCACCTCAAAGAAATCTGCTGACCGGTATTCATGCGTTTTAATCATCATTGCCATTTTCCTCGCCTGCTTTTGTGTGGCTCTGGGCACATGCGTGGCAATTTTGTTTTCCAATCTCGAGCATGTTCGTGCGCAACTGCAGAGAGCATCTGGTGATTCGGTTGACCGGAAGGTGTGCCTGCTATGTGACGAACTTACTATGTCTCCTTTTGAGGACGAAAATGCTGCTACCCAGAAACTGGAAGTGACGTCAGATGACAACGGTGACCGAGTGTGCTGCGCAAACGATGCAAGACAGTCCAAGGTCATGTTTGATCTGGTAAGTCTTTAATAAGTTTTAAAACTGCTGTCCTTATCCCGTTGCTTTTGGCATGAGCTATGATTAAAACAAAAGATCAACGTATTCCTTCGTTTAATCAGACCTTACTTCAATTTTCGATTTTGCAAACAGGTTCGGTAATAATCACATTTTTTCAACCTAGTGGGCCCTCATTACCTTAGAAAGTTTGTCATTTCATATCAAATATGAATTCTAAAGTCGTCAAATGAAATACGTTCGTTTATTTCGTTTCAGTTGTTTAAGAAGAAGAACAAGATTACATGCATTGAAGGTAAGTCGGTACTCCTTAATCACTGGAACTACATAATCTGACACTAATGACCGTAATGTATCGATGAACAGAGAAACGCATGTTACATATTGCGTCGCATAGTCAGGGACGTAACCAGGCGTACGCACGGACGCACGGGCTTTCACGTATTTTTTTCAAGTATACTTTTAACAAGGATCACATCGTAGAACTGTATGTGATAGACTTTAACAACTCATATAATCCTCGGCCCTCAGTGAATTCATTATCTCATTGACATTGTTTCTTTTATTGACTATTTAACGAAAATGTTCCTTGTTCATATGGAAGTAATTATTACGCATTTGATAAAATATACTACAAGCCAAATATGAAAATGATAAGTATTTTACCCCCTCAAACTCAGGAGGGGGTAACCCCCCTCCCGAACCCACCCCCTACTCGCGCTTCGTATGCTTCCACATACTCATAGTCCTGGTTACGTCCCTGATAGTTCTCATTACTGGTACAACTTGTATAATGTACCGGACGCCAGTGGCGATTTGGTACCGACGGACACCCTTAGGGACAAGCTTTAGACAGCTTTACTACGTTTCTAATACTCATTTACCTTAAATTCTGCAAATAGGTTTCATTTAAAAGATAAAAATATTTATAATTAGAACATGGTATGGTTAAAGTAATAACTTTAATACTGCTCGGGTGGAACTTATTTTCCTGTTTTATGTCATGACACGGACATTCAAAGAATCTCTTCCTGTAAATCGTTCTTTCTTTCATTTCTTCCAAACAATCTCACCCGTATATGATGTTTATCTTTATTGTTTCCCCACAGAAGTGAACGCCGCCCAGACCTCGTGTAATCGGACATTGCCTGGTCCTGTCTTGACGGGAAGAGCATCTGCCCACCTCCACATAGGTGTCCAAACACCACGCAACGGTAAGTAGGTCAAAAAGTAGTCCATCAGTTCTAGTTTTGTCCGGTGGTCTGTGATCAAGAGAGTAAGACCTAAATCATTGTTTAAATGTACATGTATGTGTTACTGAACTTGTCTATCATCTGCAATGTGCAATGCACACTTAATATAATGCAAGATATTCCTCCGCTATTGTGTGTTAGGTAGGAATCTATTTTATCTATAGACAGTTCTATAAAACAGTAAGGTCCTCGACGGGAGGAAATTTGCTCTTTTAAATAATGCAATAGAATGTTTTATTATTATAATCGGAACAGCAATCGTGACTGACTTTCACTTCTCATATGACTAGCCAACGTCACTCTCACAATTGCAAAAACAATCTGTGTGGGTTGCTTCCCTTGGATCGTCATTGTCGTCCACTATAAAGCAGTCTTTGTTTCAGTGATATTGTTCGTCAATTTTGACATTGCGATACATTGATCATATTTTACAATTTCATCAAAAGAAAATGCTATAATTCAAAACTATTATCACATGGAGAAAATACATGTTTTGAAATATAATAATGATGGCATGATGAAAAAATAAGAGTAATTGCAAATCGTTCATACCAAGAACTGCTTCAAATATGTTACTCATGTACATTTTTAGCACATGGCCTTCAGGGGCAGATCCTGGATTTTCAGTTAGGCGGCGCAACAGTTGCAAATATATATTTATGAAGGGAATTGGGTCCATGAAGATGTAAAAACACAAGTTAATGAAGATATAAAATCTTGAATTTTCTAACCAATGATACATTTTTTTCGATGACAACAAATTGAAAGCAGTTGCCCATCAGAACTGGACACTGAGCAACTTTTAATATCTGTCTATTGTCTTGATGATTAACATAAGGTTGGTGATTAGTGGATGGTATATCCCGTCTCGTGTACAGGAACTCATATAAAAGTAAAATTATTTTATTATTTTTCAATATTATAGATCATGGTGACCAGCCAGTGCGGAATTGGCAATCAAACGATCCGACATCTCACATCGAGAGAATTAACTTAACAAATGACCGACTGATCATCAACACGACCGGACTGTACGTTGTCTATAGCCAAATCTACTTCTCCAAGTACGTCCCTCCCACAACGCCCAAGTCCAGCAGTGTCCTTTACCACTACGTGTACCGGTACAACGTCATCTATCCCAACACCGGCAACCAACTACTGATGAAAAGTGTCAGGACCTTGAACCTTGACCCCGTGACGTCACATAGCGACCACACGAGTTACACGTCGGCGACGCTTCGTCTGAAGGTTGGTGACGAAATCTACGTTAAAGTGTCCAACATATCCATGGTTTCGCGAGCAGAAGAGGCCAGTTTCTTGGGTGTGGTACAGATAGCGTAACATCCAATGGTTGTGGTATATACACCAGCACGTCACGGCCGGGGTTCGAATCTCGGTACTGGTGTGAGCGCTCTCCTGCACCTGCCGACCAAAGCGCAGTTCCGGACCCGCGATTAGAAGTCCCTCGGACAGGACTCAAAACCGCAGGTCCCGTGTCCACTGCACGTTAAAGACAGATCGTATCAGACTACATATCCAGATAGGACCCAACGCTGTGGGTCCCGTGTCTACTGCACGTTAAAGACAGATCGTATCAGACTACATACATGTATGTGTTGCTTATTGTAGTTGAACAATTATATATTTCGTGAATGGCAGCTGTGTATTTTATATTCCAAAAGAGTGTATATTTTTTGAGACATAAACAATGTCTAAACATTCCTACTGTGATATAGAAGTTTGAGACAGGATGATATATAATGTAAACGTCCATTTTTATTTTATTTTATTTTTCGCGATTTTCACGCGGTAAACATTGCGCTCATTAATGATTACGCTGATGGGACTTTCTATTAATGGTTTTGTTCGCGTTTATTGATTCAATTTTGATCATTAATGCGTTAATCTATTAAAATTCGATAATACGCTCGCATTTTTGTCCGCTAACATGATAACTTTTACAGTATATAGAGTGCGTGTGCGTATGTATCAGAGACGAATGGTTCAGAGTATGTGTGCGTGTATGTGTGTAGAGAGGCAGGGCTGAAACAGGAATGAACGAATGGAATAAATCATGCATGAAATAAAATATTAAAAAATAAAACTAAACTATGTCTTTTTTACGTTGATAGCATGTAACCTGTCCCTCGATGCTAATGTTGACCGGAGTTGAACCTACGCAGGCACGTTGTGTACTGTAGTAGGTTCAGTTTTACGAACTAAGGCAAGAAAGAGTTAGTTCCCTTTGCATGCAGAGAAAAATCTACTTTACTTATTTTGTAGACGTAGTCGGGCTAGCGGATTCAATACTGAAACCTGATAACGATTTGATCTTATTTGTGATACCTAAGTCTGTCTCGACCTCAATCAAGCGTTCCATAAGGTTTGCTGGTGTGTACATGCCACCTAATTATGTTATTTTATTTTCTAACTTATTAGTCTCTGTGATTAAATGTATAGCGTACATACACCAACCTCCATATATGAAAAACAAATAAATACTGATATATATTAATACATTAATTCATAAGCGAATGAAACTAACTAAATAAGTAACACGTATGTACTTGAGTATTAAGTCAATTTCTATTTTATTTACCACCCGAAATACCCGATTCTACATACACACCAAGAAAAGTCTCAAAACACATAGTATTTTAACTCTCTGATCCCTGTCACGTGGACCAGACACATTGATATAATGTAAGATCGCAGTATATATACTATTCCTGTATGACCATTATCAGTTATACACTATATCTAAAAAGGATGTTTTTAGAATGGAAGATATCTTTTTCATCATCAAGTTTTCTTCTTCATACTCTGACAAAATGCAACTTCGATCGCAACATATCGACAAAGTCCGGTGACTCTCGGAATCTAACCGTGAAAAGCAGGAATTGAGCGATATGTTGCGATTGATTACGAGTACGACTTACCATTCCTTATACACATTAAATGACCTAGAGTCAGGGCAATGATACTATATTTCAGTATTCTGAATAAGGATACCGATTTCGAGTCAATTCTGATATCTTCTATTCAAATTTCAGCCCATTTGTTAAAAAGACAAAATCTGCCGTATCTAATATCATTTAAAATTCAATGACGTATGTGCCTATACTCATGAAACTTTTTTGATTCATAGTTCAAATGCGTCGTTTAAAAGTTTAAAAAAAAAATACCATTATAATTAACGAAACACTTAATGAGATATGGTTACTCCCACGAAGATCTAATTATCGAACATATTCACCATTAAGTATATAGTGGCGCATACATGGCATGTAACACGTAGATCTAAGGGAAACGCCTACCGTAGTATTTCCGCTTCCCGTAATAACAATTATAAAGACGACTGGAGGGATAAACACTCCCGACAACTTGCCTCTGATAACTCTTAATAAGTCTTGTTTCCTTTCAATTAACCTGGATATGTTCAGCGTACATTTGTAAAAAGGAATAGTACTTTTCATTCTGAGTGTATTGTTAAATTCTCGATGTTTTTGTGGCAACATTTACACATGTATTCCTCACACTCTTTATTACAAAAAAAATACCAACACTTTAATAACAAAGTGACAATAATAAGCGAGTATCAAACTTGTAACAATTGGGCAAATTGATATACGTAACGGTGGGCACGAGCATAGAAAACCCTGAAGTCAGTACAAGAGTATTCATGGAGGATGATTCACCACAGTCATAAACATAATTACTATTAAATCACATATCAAGCTTTCATACAATGCATTCACAACTGAACATATTTTCTGATGTATGCTAATCGTGTAGCCCAACTGTTGTGACGTTATAAGAAACAGTCATAGCTTTTCATTATAGGACATTTGCGCGAAGGCAGACTTTGTGGTGTTTTCTCTTAATTGTTTTTATCAACGAGTTTTGACAAACTAGCTATCTTCGTGCCTTCAATTTTGCCATGACCTATTCCACGCTCAAAACTAAGACCAGAAGTGAGGCATCGCCAAACAAAGAACTAGGAAATAAATAGGCTGTTACATGTAGGAAGTAAAGAAAAAACATAGATTCCATTTGTTGAAGTGGGGGAAGCAATTCAATGATGGTTTGTTCAATTGTCTCCTTAGCAGAAGACACAAAGGGAAACCCCTGATTATCCCTCAACGTCTAATTGAGTAGTTTGTTTGTTTGTTTGATTTTGTTTAACGTCCTATTAACAGCTAAGGTCATTTAAGGACGGCCTCCCCTGTGTGCAAGATGCATGCGTGTAGTGTATGTGTGTGTATTTTGGGAGGCTGCGATATGTTCGTGTTTATCTCCTTGTGATAGCGCGGAACTGATGCCGACTTTATAGTGCTACCTCACTGAAACATACTGCCGAAGACACCCAGCAGGACGCCTCACCCGGCCACATTATACTGACAACGGGCGAACCAGTCGTCCCACTCCTAATTTGCTGAATTGAGTAGACAAGATAGATAAACAAGTGTATCGTCTGTATACGGCATTTCTGTCTGTTTGCCATTCCAACATATCACTGATGGATGTAATTAATAAGGTATACCTAAGTACTGTACCGACTGAGAACCCTTAAGGACGCCTGTCCCACTGCACTGTGGTGTTACTGTAACCCTCTCTTACCTTCCATTTTGACATAACCGTAGAACAGTTGGACCCCGACCCTACAATTGACGAGGTAGCTCAATCAGTTAAAGAAATATATCAATCTGGAGTCAACGGTTCGAATCTTGGTCTAGCCCCGCAGAAAGTTTGCACTCCGAATACTGTTGTTTATTGTATTTTGCTCTGAAGCAAAGAAGTTCAGCTGCAACGAGTATTGTTAGAGAGTCGGATACACAGGCATATAGACCTGGAAAATGGAAGCGAGACACAGAACGATAGAGACAGACAGACAATTACCTTAAGTTAGGTATAGTAGAATCTGCATAATTTGGCTTATTTTTTTTTACAGTTATAGACGGTTTTCTAAGCATGATTTTGTGAGTATGAAAACAAGATCAAGCGCCAATGGTTCATCACTGTCTAAACGGATTTAAAAAAAAAAATGCGTCAATCAAGAAACATTTGATCAAGGCAACGTGTTTTCATTCTTTTACTTCCAAAAAGACATTAGGAGTTTATTCTTTAAATACGTAATCACAGAAAAATTAATATCACAAAACGTTGATTTCATTAGGGATAATAGGTATCAATTTAAAGAGAGATATATTCGCTTTTTTTGCCATATTTGAATTCTGTGTAAATAGTTAAGGATAATATGATTAAAACAAATTCTAGTTTCTTTTCTAGGTTTTTTTTTTAACATTCATACATTTTTTATTCTTTTCTCTTTTCTTTTACGGCCCAAAATAACCTCGCGTGTAGTTATGAATCTCCAAAAAGAAATTATTTCGTCATTTCTGTTTTTTTATACATGTATTTGCTTTTCTCTAACATCCTGTTCACATTTGAAGAGATTAACAGAATAAGGTTTATACATAAAACATAAAAATAAACTGTTTCACAAGTAATCTGAAAGTATATTGTTTAAATTATTCCCGTTCAGATATTAGGATTTTGTGCATTGGTTCATTATATGTTTATTATGATAACTATGGACCTTGGAGTTATTATCATGAACTTTAAATAGTGTTGATAGTTTAAATAATGTTAATAGTTATCATGACTGATTTTACTATTGATGCTTAACACGGCGTAATCATATAGATAAAACCAAACCGAATTGTTTCCCCTTGTTGATATACAATACATCTCGTGATCAGCCCATATACGATAACGTTATCAAGCAGGGTTATCTCAAAAGGTCAATCTACATGACCAGATAGGAGAGAAACACGTAACCTACACGAGTACATTACCCGGATACTTGTACCTTGCAAAAGTCCCATAACAATAAACAATGTAATGTACACAATATAGATGGACGGCTTATACCATCTTAGTGGAACATTTGAAAACAATCACATATGTCTTTTCGTTTATCATTCATGATGTAAAAGATAAAAAATATATAGCTGATTATTGAGTTCCGTCCGTTTTGTAGAATTAACTCTTCCTCTTTTTAAGGAACTGCAGTTCCCTTGCATTTCATTCTCTCACAGGGGTTCGTTACAAATGTCTGAAATACACCTATGCTGTACTGATATGGGTCACAGCACGTGTATGTGTGCTGTGACCCATATCGGTATAGCATATGTGTATTTCAGACATTTGTTACGAACCCATGTGATTCTCTCGAGAAGTATCATTCCTTTGTTATTAACTCTTACTAAACACTCCTTGCATCCTCGATATCCAGCGGTTACGCTTACTTTCGCTCTCTACACCCCTGGAATATGTCATGGCAAAATTGAAGGCACGAAGATAGCTGTTTGACTGATCTAAGGTAAAAAAAAAAAAAGCTGACCAATCGCTAGGCTGATTCCTGTCCTTTGAAGATTACAAAGGAGAGACGCCCGACTTCAAAGCCTGTCAACTTTTACCGTTACGGGACCGCGAGATTCTTTTGATGTACATCAAAGGATCGAACTAGTCTACTTGTCTCATCAACAAGGTGGCGCACATCGAGCCTTCAATTTTGCCATGACATATTCCAGGGGTGTAGAGAGCAAACGTGAGAGTAACCCCTGGATATAGTTGATGCCCTCCTTGATGTTCTTTGTAACCTCTTGCTGTCTCCTTCTTTAAACATCTCTTTGACAACCATGTCGAACAGCTCTTGATTAAGTCTTTAGGAAAAACCAAATATCTCATCAAAATCTCTATCACTTTAACTCCCTGTTCTTAATCATCGTTGATTGTCTTCTATAAACTTCATCAATATCGCCCCTGATCATCTGTAGGAAATATGATTTCATTTCTCTTGTTCCTCGCTCGGCGGATCCCTACTTCTATGCTCATAGTGCTCATTGATATTTCAAGAACACTAATCCTCTCGCCTGTAGTTGTAGATTTGCGGGTTACAATTTCGGAGTTCTAAGTTGCTGTCTGTAATAACTACTAGGGAAATGAAGGTTTACATGAACAAACATACCATCTGCTAGTCCGACTCTGTATTTGAAACGATGTCATATCACAAACCGAAATATCATCTGAGGTAGACGTGTTATTTTAATATCGTCCCTGACCCTAATTGTATGACATCATCCCCATTAATACCCTGATATTACAATTATGTATGTCAATACTTCCTGGTAAAGGGATTATATGCAGAGGGGAATTCCCCTAAATTTACCTTGAAATAAAATCCATGGATGATTTAAAAAGCAAAGCTTTTATTGTTTTTACAACATGTCGCTTTATTTGTTGATCACGGATATAACGTTTATCTTTATTCTGTTGAGCGATTGTTTTACCCAGATGTGATGATTCACCTACAGCCGTTTGTATTATGTAATATCAGAGATAAAGCAGTTTATAAACAATTAGATAACTTTTGGTCCTACTCTAAACAAAACCTGCGTTACCTGTATCGACACACATTTTTACACATGTACATCTTGAGGTGTTATCAAATTCATTTAGTCAATGTAAGTTACAGACATTCTTAATAGGGAATTTGAAAATCTTGTAATGTTTTGAAAAGTCTACACTAAAACAACGAAATAAGGTTTACATTCCTAATCATAAATATTTTTTTCCTGCAGAATGCCATACAAAGTAGAAAAACTACCACATAGGTATTTATGATAAAAAGAAAGTCCTTGTCTGAAGAGCCCCACAAACCTATTATAGTGTTATACATGCTATGGCTGAAGCAGTTAATTTATTCTTAAACTAGTATTTCTTGTAAACATTACGAAAAAAAACTTCAAGTTTACAGCTAATCGCGGACACTGATAGCCTTCCAACAGAACCAATCACCTGGTCTCGTAAACTAATCAGTAGAAAGGGGAGACAATACCCATTTGAAGGTTAGTTTGTCGGCGCAGAAGTACACCTTGAGGCCTTTAATGATTAATCGGTTTTACTGCAAGTCAGGAGAATAAACAGTGAAATCGTGTAGATTTAAACAAATGTTAACATACGAATAAGTCCCTCTGCACTCTAGTGTTTCGTATATATGCATTTCGTTTTGGATATAACTGAAGCTCAAGTCGACAAGAACACTTTCTCAGGTAGCTCAGTCGGTTAGAGGGATAGTATAACAATCCGAAGTCCAGGATTCAAATCCCCGTTTAGCTCTGCTGGGTTTTTATACAGGCACACATGTTAACCAATGTATTTCCTATCTCCATTTGCCAATCAGACAACATACATTTCACCAAAAATATCTGGGAACTTTTCGGAAACAGCTAGGGCAGATACTGTGTTTTGCACACATGACGTTAGGATATGAAACTTTTGATTAAATCACTAGAACTGCACGAGCAGAATGTCTCGAATACTACATATTCATTACTTAGAGTCAGAACAGTGTCGTGGATTCGATTAAAGCCTATGGTGTTTTCACTGATCTTTTTTAATCAGGGACGTTCCCTTTTGATTGTGCAAAATAATTACAGGTACCTATCAACCATTAAACCTCTACTCTTTGAACATGAACACCAATCAAAGGTTACTTTGAAACGATCCATGTCGATGTATGTACTGGAAAAAATATCTGTGTAAATGTATTGATATACATCAATTATATAAAAAGAAATTGTAGAAAGTATGACATTGTAAAACCTTTTTCCGAACTTCAAGCCATACCGAACAGTAATACAATATCTATATTGATCATATGTCAATTAATCGAACGATTCTCAATGAAAGCAATATTTGTTAAAAAAAAAAAAAAAAAAAAAAAAAAAAAAAAAGGTCTTCATGTTCTATACAGTTAATCAAGCTTGTTAACTTCCTGTTTCTTAAAATAGAATGACACTTTGTTAGATCAATATCCCTCCCAGTGTGTCTATTATAACGTTTAAAAAGAAACCCTAGGAGAGGTTTCTTTGACATGTTAAACACAACGTGTGGTACACCTAACACAGAGCAACGGTGTATTTGAAAGTAGTATCACAGTGGTGAACCATTAGGTGGCCACAGAGACCTAGATATTAGCAAACAGTATACATTTTGAGACCTTTTTTGATATATCTGAAGTATTACTATACGTAAAAGGCGACACCCCTGCAGGTAGGGGATCGAAAAAAGAATACACCTGCTGTTATCAACTGCATGTATCGTAAGAGGCCGCTTATGTGGGAATCCCTTGCAGAATTGGGGATTTGCTTTTGTGCCTTCTTGGGAACACAAAAGCGACCAAAATAAATGTGCTGCACCCATTGCAACATTTGGAATCTTTATAATCCTTTCTATTTCTAATAACCTTTTATTTCCTCGCGCCTTGCTTGGCAATACAACACTTTTGGCTTTAATGCTGAGCGTTCACCAAGGTGAGGAAGGCAATGTGTTCTGTCCGCAGGCCGCGGACATACCAAAGCCTTTAAAAATGGTAGTTGTTATTCCTTTCTTAACGTTCAGCATTTAGGGGAATCGCAATGACTGGTTCACCCGTTGTGCAGTGCTGAGTGCCTTCGGCATGGTATTTCAGTGTGATGGCACTATCAAGTCGGCATGAGATCCGCGCTATCACAAGGAGTCAAGGAAACCAACATACCCTGTCTCCGGTACATGGAGGCACATCCTTAAATGACATCAGCTGTTAATAGGACGTTAAACAAAATGAAACCTAACCAAACCAAACCAAACGTGGTTCACAGAAATGTAATCCTGACAGGTTCGGTATATATAAGCTGGAAGGCTACGCCATGTGTCTTGCTGTCGTGGCAGATTTAGACTAAATATACCGACTAATGACTAATCTAGCTGAAGCAACGGCTGAGCGAGGATACCTTACTCACTGCCGGTTCTCGGGATCCTCTAGCAGACGGGTGATCATGTTCAACATCTCTTCATTATTTTTTCCCAGCTGTCAGATACAGCCTCCCAATAAACATCATTCTATACGATCTGGAAACATACCATTCTTCAATCTGGTCTCCTGGCACCATTACCATCATGCAGCTTGTACAAAATACTAGAAAATCTGTATCATATCATCTACTGTCTTTGGGTTCATACCCATGTTAGATTACACGTTTTCCCCCTTAACGTCCACTTCAGAAACAGTCAATTGTCTGTGACAGTGGTGGGCGCATCTGCATATATCTCATGGAAGATATCTTGTACGCTCTCTTCAATTTCTTGTGCATGGGTAATTATTGTTCCGAAATTTTGTGTACTGCCACCAACTAAGTTAAATCATCCTTAGTTGGCATTTGGCGGGTACTGAAATATTGCGGGAACTTTTACTTAAAACTTCACCTATCATATCAAGTGTGTTTCTATGGTCCAATACTCAATTTGCTCTCAACTCGTCCTAAGCATTTCATCTAAGTTTTTACTCTGCTAGAGTATGCAACCCATTGTTTCACTTTTAACCGGTCATATTGTGTGATAAAGATTGCTACTGAAAATAAACTTTACATTGGAACCCATTACATTCGTCTCAAACCAGCATATATAATCCGACGAATGAATTGCGTCTAATTATTAGAATGCTCGCTGTCCCTTTATGAGAGTTATTATGTTTTTTATGGTATACCGACGCTACCGGCATCCAAAGCTCTTGCTTTAGATGAACTCTCAATGGTGATATAGTTGTCTTGAAATGTTGGCCTTCTTTTAGCCTACTAGGCATTAGCTGTTTCAAAAAAGACTGACTGTTTGTTGGTCTCTTCAATCATAATTTGTAATATGGTTTCCTTGTATTTCAAGTCCATCATTTTGCGCACGTGATGCCTGTCAATGCACATGTCTTTCATTAATCTTCTGCCTTCGGCTCAATGATCGCATTAGTAAACATAATGTCCCAATCACACTTTTTACACTATGTTCCTGAGTACAAGAGATTGTGAACAGCGTGTCACTTTTGCCAGTCTGCCTGATAAAGAACTATAGACATGTAAGACGCTGCTTCATATTACCGAATACTACACTAGTTATATTTCTGTTTTGTAAGGTAATTGTGATCCCTGAAATATTTCAACATATCTTTCGTTTTAGATTCGAACACACAAATCAGCTCCCTCAATTACAACGGTATCAGAACACTTCAGATGTCAAGGTCGACCGTGGCTAATTTGAAAATCATTTAATTTCGCTCACAAAACTGATAATGTTTTAATAGGTAAATTTTATTACTCGTATACAATAAATAACGTGTACGTATTGCATTTCATCAACGGCCTTTATGTGTTTAAAACCTGTTGGCAGCCGGCCAATGTCATATCAAGGTACGACATATATCATTATGTGTAAAGTTAGCGTGGAACATAACAAACGTAACTTGCTACCCGGACAGCCGACTGTGTTTACCTCACGTTGTCGTAGTACCTTTTACCTGTACCTGGTATAAGGTAGACGTTGTAAAAAGGTATGTGTACCTGTATTTACGTGTAACTGCCTATTGCTTATTATGTATACATTTCATTCTAACCCTACCTGTGTTACACTAGAAAACAGAAATTGATGCCAGTGCAACAGAAACTTACCTGTTATATTTGATTGCAATCAGCAGAGAAACATAATTCTATATATTTTTTCAAAACTGTAAATATTCAAAATACATAAAATACATAGAAATGTAATTAAATTGTGTTGCAAAATTAATGACATCAAATAAACAAAAAAGACAAATAGGGTGCAAAGCATTAAATGAACGAAAACTTGAAAGTACAAAACATGATATGTTTGAGTTATACTCCTTGTGTATGGACAGCACTGTACCTAATTTTAATTGAAACTAGAAGAACTAATCATATCGATAACTTTATTATGTATAACACATTTGTATTTAAAGACCACTTCTTAAGCCACTTTGATTATAAAAGAGAGCAGGGCAGCTGGATATACGTGTGTGCATTATTTGTTCTGAAAACGAAAGTACGAGTGGTAAAATAAGATCTGATTGAACGATTTTTGTGTCTGAAAACGAAAGTACAAGTAGTAAAATAAGATCTGATTGAACGATTTGTGAATCTGAAAACAAAATAAAAGTACTGTAGTAAAATAAGATCTGATTGAACGATGTGCGTGTCTGAAAACGAAAGTACAAGTAGAAAAATAAGATCTGATTGAAAGACTTGTTTGTACAAGTGAGCTTGTAACAGCAACAGCGACGTTCTAAATGTAAAATTAAACAGCGGGCTATATAGGGGCTCAAACAATGGACTTAAGATTATGATATTATTGCTCTAACTAACTGAGCTAATTAGTCAAAAAAAGGGAATTACCCTGCCCCAAACGAGCTTAAGTTATATTCAAAACGTAATGACTATAAGGAAAACCTTCAGTGCTGCGGGACAAGGATGTCTATAATTATGAACCATTTACGTATGCACATAATAGGGCTGTATGATCAGTTGGAACCATTTTTCGTGAATGCAATAAATACCATTTATTTTTTCAGAATGTAAACAATGGCGGCAAATCCCCATGGCGCTAGTCCGACTTATTCTGGACAAGGCCAATCCAACAATCAGTATTGCGCTGTACAGCAACAGCGTCTATGCACTGGACATGTGCAACAACAACGATCAATAAGTGAGTGCTCGACAACAGAGCTCCTTCCGCAGGTGGACAATAAAAGAGGTAGAAAACCTTGTTGCAGAATTTACTGGGTGATCTGCGCTTTGGTTTTTCTAAGTATCGTCCTCTGTATTGCTCTTTCAGCATGCGTTGCAGTCCTTTTTTCACAGGTAGGAAACATGAAAGAAAACATCCAAAGATTAGAAAGGCAAAATGATGCCAGCGAGAAGATTTGCCAGCAATGTGCTGAATTGATGGTAGGTCCGTTTGACGACGACAATCCGTACCTAAGTGAACTTGACAGAGAAGGAAACATCTGCTGTGCATCAACGCCGAAACAAACGAAGATTATTCTGGATTTGGTACGGATCCATTACTTTGATCATTACATTTTATGGTTCATTTAAATAGTTTGAATTATTAAAAGAAAAAAAAGAAAAAAACTTTCGTCAACCACTTTTCATATGGGCCTCAGTAGGCTAAAGACAAAATTAACATTTCCACTAATACTTAAAATTCATATATGTGAAATATTCATACGCTAAGTAAATAAATATTAAAGTCTAATGTATCTTCCTAGTTCCTAATTCTATTTAATTCAAGACCTTACATCGTATTTTAATCTCTCAAATTACAATTGTTCCAAATTTTATAGACAGTAAATTTAATGTTTTCAGATGTATCAGAGACAGAGAAGAATTTCTGACATCATTGGTAAGAATGATTTTTAAATAATCGTATTGTATTGGAGATGAAAATGATCAGAAAACTTACATTAACACTGTACAAGGGTACATAAAATGCATAATTGAAGACGGTAATTTATCTCCGTTTACAGGTAACAGACAATCCAACCAATCAAAATGCTGCAATAACTCGCAATCTGATACGCCGACTTCTGGTACGAGATCTGCCCATGTTCTTGTTGGACTGCAACGACTGAAGGCAGGACGGAACAGTAAGTACAGATAATATGATATACGTGTTTAATTCTATGAAATATGGTCTAAAGACATTCTTCTCTCATTCTAAAAGACCTTACACTTATCAATCATGTTTAGATAGTTTAACAAATGCAATTTACCTTTTCCTATTGAGCATTAATTTTTTCATAATGACTGGAAAATATTATCATTTAAAATCAATCTGATTTTCATATCTGACAATTATATTCCTTATCAATGATATCTCAATAGGTGGAATCGAACCCATTCGAAGCTGGGACCGGTCCGACCCTACGTCCCATATTGACGGGGTACAATTTGACAACAACACACTGATTATCACGGATGCGGGACTATACTTGATCTACAGTCAGATATGTTTCTCCGTGCGTGACACAGGTAATTTTGAAGAGGGTACCATTCCTTTATTGTACCATTACGTGTATCGATACAACGTCATATATCCTAATGGTGGCAACCAGCTCCTGCTGAAGAGTGTCAACGCTCAGAGGATTGAACCTTCTAGGGACTTTGGTGATCTCACGAGCTACACTTCCGCAGCGTTGATGCTCAATAGAGGCGACCAGATCTATGTCAAGGTCTCCAATTTGTCGTATGTGTCACGTGATCAGAAGGCAAGCTTTCTCGGCGTATTGAAAATGAAGGGAAGCTGAAACAATGATTATGTTCGTCGTTGAGTGCATACCGCTGCAGATTTACTACTCGACATTTTATCGTCCAATCACATTGTACGTATTAAACTTATTGCGGCATTTCAAGACCGACTGGTTTTTTTTTATCAAGCTATGTCTGAGTGAGCGATGAAAATGGCAAATCGCTGTACAGGTAAACGATACAAATCGCTCACTCAGTCATAGCTTGGCAGAGGGACCAGTCCGTCTGGTAACGTCTAATGCCTGCATTTTTTGTCCATAAAGTAAAATGTTGATGCTACACGTTCCCAACTGATGAATCTTACTGAAGATTTTACTAGAGATCCTCGAGCGTAAATACAACATCTGTTATCTTATAATTAAATTAGACATGCTGCAAAATAGATGAAAATTATAAGACTATTTGCTAACATACTGGTAAGGATAGCTATTGTGAAGCTCCACATTTTATATTCGCTTTGATTCGAATGTTTCTTTGTTTTCTATTATCTAGGCTTTGTTATTTTACTTCGAAAAACATTAAAGTATATATATTTTTTAAGTTATGTGTTGTTTTCTCCTTGACGCGTAAAGTAGGTGTTTAATCAACGCCAGGCATATCTGCCAATGATTTAATCAAAATATACGTATTATGTTTAGTCTCAAAAAACATTGACTCATGCCTATAGGAAACCCGGATTTCCATATTTCCAAAAGTTTACAAAGTCATAAACATATCTGTTCTTATGTAGGTGTCCTCACCTGTAAGAAAATTTACCTATACACTTGTATGTGCATCGATGCATAGTCACGGGTAACCTTATTCCTAACAGAGTCACGGTGCAAGCCCGATTAATGATTACATTGAAATGTCGTTAAACATAGTTATATCATATCTTAGTGACAGGCACTTGGAGGCAGAAAGGACATGTCATGTTTAAGTGGAAATCATCTATTCAAATACTGAAGTAGGGTTTGAAATATTTAGCTTGTATATATTATCTACTTGATTGATATTTTTTATCTGTTATGATATCAATTGTACAATTCAACTTATGCTTTATTTCTCGCAAACCCTCATATGGCCATACATTTCTAGCAGACACACTGACAAGGGTAAAACCTGATATGGTATATATCTATGATGATCCTTACTGATCGAAGTCGCGTTAAAGGTATATTTACCCTATTACATGACGGAGGGAAATGTTGGAGTTTTCACATTTATCATTTTTTCTGGAAACGTTCCAACTCTTGCCAAGTGGAATATAGGTTTAACGTAAGTTGCTCCGTATTTTTATCCATTTTGGAAACTTTCCAACAAGCTTGTTAAGTGAAATATAGGCTATTATAAGTTTGTCTTGGCTTTGCCATTTGCGTCAAAGATGTATTGTTCCATGTACATCGTTTATAGATGACTTTCAAAATGACTGAATGACTGCATATCTTTCGTAAGAGGTGACTTCAGTGACTATTTAAGAATCGTAATGCTTCTTCGGTATCTTTTACCAATAAGACAAACTAAAATCTGCTGTACCCAGCACTTTTGAAGAACATGTATATCTGTTCTTTTTTCGCGCTCCTACTTTTCTCTTCCGGTGGTGTTTTCCTTGGCAACCGTCTTCAATTTGCCCTAACTGTTCCGGGACGTGAAAGCACAATGAAAATAGATTCTACGTGAACATGTTTTTAATCACGGTAGACACTTAACGACAATGGTTTGGGTACATGTCATGTAAATGAATTAATATAAGGCATGCAACAAATCTTTGCTTGAATCTAGTGTTCCATGCTGTTAAAACACAACCGTGTTTCACCCTATGTTGATTAACTACAAACTACAAACTAGTCTAGAACCTGTCTTCTTGTCAAGAGAATGAAAATACGTCTTGATTGCAATGGTTTGCCAAAGACAATATACAAACGACTAGTATATTATTACTCATCCTCAATATCCAGGGGTTACATTCACTTTCGCTCTCTGCACCCCTGGAATATGTCATAGCAAAATTGAAGGCTCAGAGTGTGTGACCTTTTTGATGAGACAAGAAGACTAGTTCGATCCTTTGATGTACATCAAAATAATTTCGCGGTCACGTAACGGTAAAAATTGACAGGCTTTGAATTCGGGCGTCTCCTCTTTTTAATCTTCAAAGAACAGGTATCGGCCTAGTGATTGGTCATTTTTGTTTTCCGATCAAACAGCTATCTTCGTGGCTTCAATTTTGCTTTGGTATATTCTAGGGGTGCCGAGAGGCAACGTGAGCGTAACCCCTGGATATCGAGGATGATTATTACTATGAACTTGATTTCTCTTCTGAGATTACACCATCACTATTTCGCTGCCTTCAACATCAACTGTTCGACATTTCAAATGCTACTGGATCTATCTGCCTCGTTTATTCGAAAATGGTTAGAGACATTAACGCAATGATGAGCATCATCCGAGCCTTGGGACATGGAATCATTTCTCACTTACACTGAAAGCGTGCTTGTATGGACATAGCTGTCTAGTTAGGCTTCATTACGTAGAATTGAACCGAACCAAATATAACTCAATTTTGTTTGCATCTCAAGCATAAGGGAAAACGCAAACCCTGTATGTCCACATGCCAGTCTAAATTGGTACCAGTGTGTATATTGTGTCTGCTGAAATAAAACTGCTTATATTATTTGATTCATAACACGGTCGACTTTTTCAAAGATGAAAGCAATCTGGTTTGACATTATCTTTGATATCTCATGCATAATGTTAAGTTTAATAAAGTATACATCTGTTCTTAAAACATAAAAGAGGAATTATAAAAGTAGGGATCAGTTTGACGCGTGTTCACTTAAAAGACTAATATTCACCAAGTTTGATTGTGGCACACGAAACATGAAGTGTATAATAAACAGGGCCATGTTACAACATTTTGATATTAAGATAAAGATCCGTTTTGGTGATTTACGAGTTAAACTCACTTTTAGTATTTTTATTGTTGAGTTCATTAAAACATTATCTACGGGGCAAGAAAGTAACTAAAGACTCTAGAACACATGGACCGTCAGCCTTAAACAGTTTTGTAATTAATGTGTATTCCTTTGTCAACTTCTTTCAGAAGTATGCTGATGACAGAGATTTATAGAGAAAGAGTGAGAGAGAGAGATGTATTTTAACAACTGATACTTATCAAAATTAAATCAAATTCGCAGACAAATTAACAGCTTTTGTTGAATTGAATATAGACATATTGGAGTACGTTCCTCTAATACAGTACATTTTACCAGCGATAGTTTGGTACCTTTAGTTAGCTGACCTTCTACAAGGAAGTAATGCCATGCAGCTATATTTAAGTATCTGTGTGCTTACCTGATCACAAAACTAGTTTATGGTCGGCCAAGGTAACATTTGAAACTGTATAAATGAAGTAAGTGTGTAAGGTTACGATCTACTCATGGTTAGTAGAAATGCGATATGTATGCAACACATACGCCTATTTCAATAGTTGTGTTTTAAGCAAGCAAACTTAAGAACTTGCCAGTTTTTAAGACGTCACCTTAGTTTCATGCGATAGACACTGAATTGTATTACACCCAATATTTTTTTTTATATAATTACCCTTTAATAGAAAAAGATGGCGACGTCTAAATATCAGTAGAAGTAGTACAATTAGAGCTTTGTTCTCGGTACGTTATACAATAACCCATGCTTACAGTATGAAGCGTCACTGCACTGTGCAGATCGCCGGCGACCAGGTAGTTCAAATAGTAGAGAGTCAGTTTAGCGGTCGGAGGGTCCTAGGCTCGAATCCCGATCTGGCCATGTATTCTCTTCTCCTGTTACAGTTGGGCCCCTGACCAACTCTTGTTTCAAGCATTGGGTGTAAGTATGGCAAAGGCAATTTACCCAAATCTGATTGTAGATAGTGTTGTCTTCGGTGGCGCAGACTTAGAAGGAGGGAGGAATGTAGCGGAATAGGGCAGGGTCGAACGTCGGCGACCAGGTAGCTCAATTTGTAGAGCATCCGTCAAGAGTTCGGAGGGTTCCGGGCTCGAATCTAGGTCTGGCCGCGCATTATTCTCCTCCTGTAACGGTTACTTCTACAGTTACTTTTTCATTGACCTGATTTATTTTTCGTATTCCGTCTTTGCGTATTGCAGAGTTATCTTCTCCTGGGAGCAGGTATTGATTGTTACGTCATTGGTCTGTGTGAGAAAATTACGTCGTTTTCTCGAAAATTGATGACATTCTTCTCACAAACAAGAGATGTAACAATCAATACCTGCTCCCAAGAGAAGATAACTCTGCAAATACGCAAAGAAGGAAAGTCCATCTATGTATCGAATAATATGTTCAGAGCTAGCATAGTTAGATAGCAAAGTATTTCCCAAAAGTACTCAATTTCGTTTGACAAGTGGATAAAACGACAGTTCAATAAATAAAATAAATACAAATGTATATCATTTTATCAGTAACGATACCCCTGTAAACGATAAAAGGGTCAGGAAGTGGGAAAGCAAGCCTATTTCAGTTTTGTTCCTGTTATTTGTGATTAATTTCTCATTCTTATTATTATTATCAATAATTGCACACAGTTTGATGTGATTAAATGTTAAACATGTATATATTCATCGTTTAAGATAACACGAGTTCATACTGATATTTGACTTCATACACAGTATTGATGATTAGATAGAATGGTTGAACAGATATCATTATTGTCGACGTTAAACTAGTCACATATTTTACCCTGTGCTGGATCGGGGGAACACTGACCGTCTGTATTTTACTACATGTTGTAACAGGTGACTTATGTAGGGCTTCGTGCAGAATCGGGTACGATGATCGGGGGTTCTTCAGTATGTCTTCTGCTGAGGATACATGAAAGGAAAAAAGATCTGCTGCCCAAATAGTGACTCTTGGGATCTCTATCTTTTATTTTCACTTCCCTACTCTCTTTTTTTTAGGGGCGTGTCTCTAAGGACATGCTTCATATGACGTTGTCTGTTGAATGGAAGAAATAAACAAACATATTAAATTTATAATATGTGTAAGGAATATTTGTTTTGATAAGGAATAATTCACTACATCTATAATACATTATTTTCTAGGTATCTACTGATTTATTACAGAATATAATAATAATGAATGTTTTTATTTAAACATTGTAACATATTTAGACAGTATATATACTAGCCCTGTAAAACACATACTACATGCATACATGTAATACATACACAAGATGGACGATTTACAACTGACATGTAAACATTGTTATATACAACAGAATACAACAGAATAAAACACAAAATACGTATGATACCAGCTAGTTGATTAACTCTACATTTATATAACAGGAAAGAGTATGACAAGCAAAATGTTAAATATAAAGTTAAATGATACCAGCACATTGACAGAACTATCACTTATATTACAGTATGGTAAGAAAAAGAAAGTAAGCAATGGCAAAAAATAGCCTGATTTCTAGTCAGTAAGTGATTCGGCCAAACGAGTTGAGGCGGTTAATGTTTTAGTGTATTTTTGTTTGTTTATGCTTCCAACGAAACTAAGAAAACCCG